GACCTTCTTGCTGCCATGTGTTTAGTTCATGTCAACACAAGATTTGCAACGACCAAACAAAACGTTGCTGTAGAAAACCTAGTTTAAACGTTTACAGCCATTTTAGCATTTGCTCACCAAGAGTTCAATAACTGGCAGAGCTTTGTGAATTAGCTGGGGTAGAACACAGTAAAAGTCTGTGTTATGTTATGTAGTCACACCTTGGCGGTCCTTGTACCTGCTATTGACTGACTTGCAGGGTGTTAGAATGGGCTTGCAAGTTATTTTCTATCTTTGGGGGAAGATGAAAACCCTAAAGTAATCTGGGATAGTTTTGGAGACGAAGGAAGCAAGAATGAAATTGCTGAATTGTACTGTTTCTTCTTGAGTCAGGCTCTACAATAATTTGGACAATAGTGAAGCTCTGGAGTCAAACTCATTCACACTAACTTCATTGTTCGAACGGATGTCCACAAAAAACTAGAATGCAGTATAAATGTTAAATTGTATGGTTACTTTCTGAACTCCAAACTGAAGAATCTCAATGATGAAAGTGAATGAAACAATTGTGTGAAACAGATTTTCTGCCTTTTTAATCACTGAGCTCAAAACAGTTATGACCTCACTGAAAATAATGTGCACAAGAAACTGTCCGTCTTATCATTGGCAAAAGTTTTCTTTTGAAGAATTTACAGAAGCCGTTGAAGTCTGCAAAACTGATAGTTATCGACATGGATGAGTTATATGAAAAATTGTGTACAATCAAAGAAGTCATGTCATCTCCTAAATTTCAAGACTGCACAAGTGCTGATGAGAAATACCTCAAGATTTTCAAAATGACAAAGCCAAATAGATGTGGAAACTTAAAGAATTTGAATAAAATTGGTTCTTACATACTTTCCATTTCATGTAGCAATGCATACACTGAAAGGGTAGTTGTGTTAATGAATTCCACCTGGCAAGATGAGAGTAATTGACTGGACGTGAACCCAGTGAAAACCAAACAACAGAGTTACTGCAGTTTTGAAAATGCTGAGTTCAAAAACAAGTTTCCAGTATTCCTCAACAATAAGATGCTATTAGAGTTGGCCATGCAGGGAAAAAAATACAAGAAGTAGACAATTTAAGGTTCATGCAATGCTTTCTATGAATTTTTTTTAACTGAGGGTTTGTCCTCATTTTTAGCTGCAGTAAGAAGGACTTGGCCTCCTTTTTCAGTTCCCTGTGATGGCCACTCTGTGTGTAACACCCCAATGGCAATGTCACTGGGACCCGACACCCTTTTGTTTAGAGACTGTGTGCCCAGCTGTGTAGGGAGTGCCTGGATGGGGAGGCCCCTTTAGCTGGGTGAGTGGGTGGGGGGGAAGAACATTGCACAGCGGAGGAATATTGACCTAGGATTTTAAACTGCATCAGGGATATAACATGGTGCCGTTACCAAGGGATCTGCTGCTTCTGCCTTTAGGTCTCCTGCATGCACAGGCCTTTCCCCTCTATAGTACTAAGCTGCTCTTACATCCCCTGAGAGCACCAAGAAGCAGGCACTGGTAGAAACCTGGGAAAGGAGGGAGCCCCCGGTAATCTCTCCTGGGGCAAGAGAGGGGGAGGTACTCTCAGAATGGCAAAGCTGGCAGATGGGAGCAGCTGAGAGCAACCTGGGAAATGGGGACACTTGTTTCCCTGTAAAATACTCACTGTTTTTAGCTGCTGTTTTAGTGAGCTTGGAAATTAATAGAACTGGTGGCTGGTACGTTCCTGCTCCTGGATCACTCCTTGTCCCGTTTTGCAGTGTCCTTGGAAAGGTCACAGATTCCGCCTGATATCGGCTCCATGTCTGCAAAATGTAAACAACATGTGTGAAGGGTGCTCAGCCCTTGGCTTGCTCACCTGTGTCTCACAGGCTAACTTTTGCTTTGAAACAAGTACCCTCTAGCCTAGTTTCCTTTCTGTGACAAATAAACTTTGCTTTGAAATAACCCTAATGACTGGAAAGCACTGCTGGTTTTTTGCACTGACCGCTGGCTATGGGGCCCGCTGCCCCAGCCAGAAGCAAACTGACATTAAGGAAGTCAGGAGCAAAAGGGAAGAAGCCGCCTGCACCCCTAGTCAGAGGGGATGGAGTTGCTGTCTCTTCTTTCTTGGAAAGAAGCTGCCCTGATGCAGTCTGGGCACAGGAGAGCCCAGCACCCACAGGGGCGGAGCGATGGTTGCATCCAATGATTCCCCTCCAGCAAAGTGTCTCTCAAACATTCACCCTACGGGGTTTCCCTTTCACAGTTCCCATGGCACTAGTGATTCAACACCACCTGTTCACCTGCAGGGGGCACCAGAAACCTATAGCTACATGGCGGGGGGGGTCATTTAATTTGGGGCATCAGCACACTGGCACTTAGAGGATGAGAGCTGGCTGGCTTTAAGAGAGACCCATCATCTGGCCTTGGGGAACCCAGCACACAGCGCTTCTTTTGGCGGCTGGCTTTGGTGAGAGTGGCTATAAAGGGGGGGGGTGAGTAGTACAGTCCCAGCGGCTATGGAAAACGAGTGTAATTTACAAGCTGAAGGAGTAGCAGGAAAAGGAATCAGCATAAGGCAACACACCCACTTCCTAGTCGAACACCGCCTGTTCTGGTCCTCTGTCCTTTCAGTGTGTAGGCTGCACGCGTTTAACGCACCCACTGATTGCTAAGGGTACGCGCGTGACATGACTTTGCCATTTACACCCATTTTGAGGTGTAACTGATCGCACCATTTACATCACCACCTCATTTGGCCCACAGACTTCCATGGGAGTCGCCGCTGCTTAGTCCAGGCTGCCGTCATCTGCGTGAGGCTTGGAATGAGCACACACTAATGCGTCTCGTTTTGTGATGGACACATCAGCGGAACCTCCGAGCTGTGCTTTGTAACCCATTCCGATCAACAGGGCCAGCGGTGGCTGTGCAGGGAGGACCGAGCCACTCTGATCCATGCATTCGTCACCCCCCAGGTTAGAACACCGCAGCACATGCTAGCTAAGGTTGAATGTACCCACTTCCTGGAAGCTACCACTAAATTATTACAAAGCCGGCCACTTAAAGAGCAATAAGGCCAGCATGAAGATGCATCACGTCAGCGCTCTCCAGCTTTCAGTGGCTGCCAGACTGACTTCAAAATCCTTGTCCTAATCTACAGGGCCAATAACAGGCGAGGACCTGGCTGTCTCATAGACACTGATTCATCCATGGATTGACCAAGGCCACTTTGCTTCTCAGGGATACTTCACACTTATGAGCCCCGGTTTCAGACAAGTCAGGTGCAGAGTCAAAGAGTTCTCAGCAGCAGATGCCTGGCTCACTTTACCAGAGGAGACCAGAGTGATCCCAAACTCAGCTCCTTGCCCAGTAATGGCATCTCCTCCCATGGAGACCTGGGAGAAGAGACAACTGTCTGGGAACATGGTGGGGAGGTCATGCGGCAGCTCCTGGCTCCCTAGCGTTAGAGCAACTAAAAAGCCAGGAATTAGCATAGCGATGCTACATCAACGCATTAGTAGATGGATGGGTTCCACATCACCAAAACCTGAACTGCAAACTCCTTCCCAAATCCCCAACACACCCAGGGCCCATGACCCTTATTATTAAGGGGTAGCCAAGCACTCAGCCGACTGACATGTCCCAAACGATTGAAACATATAGATATTCAAGATTGGGACAGCTGAGTGGATTTGCTATAGGATACCAAGCCACTTACCACTTAAAATCCAAACCAAGTCAGTCTGATTGAAAGCATATGACAGCTGTTCAGCATCCTGTACATCTGAAGGGGTCAGGCCAGCTCTCCAGCGGACAGGAGTTCACAACCCAACTGGCACCCATGCCGGCGGTTTCACTGGAGACACAAAAGACTGAATGAACATGGAGTAGTTCGAGCTACAGGTCAGATTTCACTTAGTGCACTGCCACTGACTATACTATATGTTTGGTGGACAGTGGATTTTTAATTATTATTTGAAAGAAGCATAAAGAGATTCTGCTTTACTTTCTCCCTCTTCTTTCAGACTTCAGTGACTGTTCTGTACGCGTTTTAGAAATCTTTTTTTAAATGTCTTTCTCACACACACACGGTTCAGAGGAAGTTAGTGTCCCACCACTAACTGAAAGTGACTAGAATCTTCTCCCATGGGCAAGTGATTACAGAATTGCCCATTATGGATGAGGTTTGTTTTTTTTGTTTGCTTGGTTTTGAATATTGTTGAGTTTTGGTCTCTCCCTCCCCTCCCCCCAACCCCCTGAATGTTTTTCATGAATTGTTGTTATTCAGCAAGTTCTAATGGGTGTGTGTGTGTGTGTGTGTGTGAGGGGGGGGTGTACATTTCCTTCCAAGCATATAGTTCTGGTTATTAGACAAAGGATATTCTACAGAATTGACCAGTGATCCACGCTGATTTAGTTCAACATCGAGACAGATTTAGGCCCTCTCTCTATAAAATTATATAGGAATCCGTGCATTAAATTTCAGAGTGAATTTTTATCCCTGAGTTATCAGTGCTTTAAAATCGGAAGTTAAAATGGAAAGCTGCAGAACGAGAGAAACGAAATATATCAGTCCTGCAATTGCTGCAGTTGTAAAATATTATAAATGCGTTCACTTTGTTTCTCCCACTAAGTGTATTTCGCATGCTTCTCCACTCCTCTGCAAAGCTTCCATCACAGGGCTATCATGTGCCCAGTTCTCAAATTACTGAAATGATTACATACAACTCTGCAGAAGACTGACAAATGTCCTTAATGTGACGCACAGCATTAATCTTTCACAAACACTGCGTCAGACTAGTGAGATGTTGATCCTATCTTACATATGCAAAAGTGTACACTTATGGGATATGTAAGGCATTTTTATTTTTAGAACATATCTTTTTAATGCCGAAAAATAACAGCCACTATTAATTTTCACTTTAAATGCAATCTGAATATCATTGCAGACAAAGCATACAAAGATCACCTACAGACATGGTTAGGTACACAGGTCATAAGACATGCCAGTTAAAGATTACTGCTTTATTCTTACATTTGGGTCGGACTGACATCGCTTTTTGACATTTAATCATTTTAGCAAATAACCATGCCATTAAACAAAGGCAAACGCACATATATACCACAACACACAAACTTATCAAAACTTAAAATTTGTACAATTTACTTTGACAAACAGAAACAGGCTTGTTCTCTAGTAAGCGAACCAAACAAATTTGTCCAAAAGAACCTCTCTGTCCACATAATTTACCTTGTTCTGAAAAAAATGACAGATGTTCTTAATAAAAAGGCACATTTGGCAGCTACTAAAACTGGCATGCATCTGGCACAGGACTCCTCCCCCCCGCCCCCTTCAACCTTTCAGTCACCTGGTGCACGACATCATGTTTGTTTGTTACAGAGTCAAATGCAACCTTATTCTTTGATCACTTGATTTTGCAGCAATTGGCTACTTAATGCACTATTTTTCATTAAAGGCAAAAGAGAAATTTGCTCACAGTTGACAGAAAAATGCACTTTAAGGTATTTAAAAAAATATGGAAAATAAGGCATGAAATTTACAAACCAAGTTACAAGTGCTTTTGGCTTTTATAAGTGTATGGGGCCACGTTTCTTTCCTTAGCTAATACAGCTAAAACGACTGCAGCCCACATATCAAACATTGTTGAAATAAGGTGTTTAAAGAGAAAAATCTAAGAAGCTGCCCATTTTTTTTTCCTGCTTTAAAAATGCATTTTTCAGCAAGACCCTCCCTGTTAGCTGCAAAAGGTATGAATTTTGAGAGGGAAACCAACGTGTGATTTTTACATACCACAGGCCAGTGCACTTAGATCACAGCAACTAAGTATTAAGGAACATTGTTACCAAGACAGACATTGATTAACGAGGGGGAGTTTTCCTGGTGCAGTCTCAATGCACGACTGCTACGAACATGGAAGGCTGCTTACGAGATTTGTTATGCTAGGATAAGACAATACCAAGAGCAGAAAGAACTGGCATTTCTATTGCCAGGCATTAGCTCTGCTACAGGGACTGCGGCAAAGCCGGTTCATTTAAACAGCCCTAGTGGTACAAAAGAAACACTTCCCTGAATACAGGAAAATAGAACCATCTTTCAAAAGGACACAAAGGGCCTGATCCACAACCTGCTAAAGTCAATGGAAAGACTCCCATTGATTTCAGTAAGTTTTGGATAGGGTCCCAACTGAGTAAAAGTGATACTGGAGTTTACTGGTAAGAAAAGCCTGATTTAAGATTCTGTCTGCATAAAAGCAACAAACTATACAATAGACAATTATGATAAACAAAAGCTCGAGAGAGTAAAGGCATAACCGGATTTGTGTTGGGGGCACAGACCTCTCTCGTTTCTTTTTAAAAAAAAGAACCCACAATGGTTAAGTAAGAATTTAGAAACAATTGCAAGAGAGAACACGCAAAGTGGTTTCTAGTTTATGGGAGCATTCTCAATGATTTCATGGTATTGATTCTGAAGCAAAGAAAATTCTCTCCAAAGAGACACTGCAAAATCATGCCTGGATTGTTGAGTGGCATGACAAAAGTAATTCCTTGCCTGACAACCATGTGTTAAATAACTTTTCCTTGCACTTTATTATAAGTTTAACTCGAAATAAAGTTTTCAGCATCTGAAAAGCTAACATTTACAAACTACTAATGGAGAACTTTTCTTTTTAATACCCAGTTTTCACTTCTGGGGGGAAAAAAGATTGGATTTCTCTTTCTCCTACACTGCTGCACTACACTCTAAATCAGAGAGACTTTAAACATTGCTCAAATATTGCACTTTCATGTCTCATTAATGGACTTCGTTTCTCCTATGCCCCCTCCCCACCCTCCACGCAAGCACCCAATAGCTGAAAACCAATACTCTGCACCAGTACAGTTCTGACTTGTGAGCAGTGTCAGACTTTTAATCTGGGCTCGGCAGTAATACAGAAATCCATTTAGCCAGTTGTTGGCTTAAGATGCTTCATCACTCGTTGCTATTATTCAAGATCATTTTATCAATAATCTGGCAATATGAGCAATTAAAATAATGGCATTTTCCCTGCCATTGTTCAGAGATATTTGCTTTAACAAAAGTTATTTATTGAAAATACAAATAAATTTGACGAGTTCTGAGAGAGGCCAGTGGCTCAGCAGTTGTGTTCGACAGTCTCCTCCTAGATACATGGATTTGATTTGTGGTTCAGGCAGCACGTTGTAGGTGTGCCGTACGCTGGTAAATAGCAGATGATTGAGCAGTGTTGCTGAGCTCTGAAGGAGTTTAATTTAGGTTTTTGTATGATCCTCATCACCAGTGTCTCTAATCAACTTCTATGGATTTTTATCCTGAACCGCACTGTAAAGTAGGGAAGTATGAGCAGTATTTTGCAAATGGAGAACTGAGGCACTGAGAATATTAAATGACTTGTCTTAGTGCACACAGGAAGGCTGGGGCTGGGCCAGGAACTAAACGCAGGTCCATGCCATATCACTGTAGTACCCTATACACTAGGCCATTCTACCTATCTAGCCTGCCTTGGTAATGACAGGGGCCATGGTTTTGAGTGTGGAGGACAGGCAATGTGGGTTCTGAACATCTGACTAACATTGGAGAGCTCCCTGGCTTTCTCTTGGAAAGTCAGCAACTTCTAAGACATTGCCCCAAGGGTATTCATTACTCTTGGTTAGATCTGAAGAACTGAGAACTTCACTTACATTTCTCGTAGGATAGGATTAAATAAAAGTACATAGGGAAGAATGTCCTCCTCTGAAGCCGAGTTTATAAATCTTACTTATAAAGGAAAAAAGTACATTTTTTGGTGGGGGAGGGGGCAGGAAAACATGTTTCAAAATAGAAATGTTAAAGATATACACAAATATACAACCGACAAATTCTCAACGTTTGGCTATGACAAAATATGCTGCTTAATGCTGTTGAACTCAAAACGCTTTTTGAAATGTAAAGACCAAACTGTAGTATCATGGTGCATATTCCACTACTCTAATGGCATTGTAGAAAGTTACTAAAATAGTAGATTTCCATCATGATTCGCTCTACTAGAACTGTCTCTAATGACATGGCGTTCTGGGTTGCTGAAATGTATTTTGTTTTTATCCAACAGGAAACATGATATAATTTTACTATGACCCATGTCTCTTATTAAATAAAGATGAGATACTGCACACTTCACAAACATTATGGTAGAGGAGATTAATAAAGCTTCTTTTCTTCAATAACTGGCATGCATTACTGTCACAGTATTGGTTAGAATCAGAAGAGTAGTACACAGGTTTATGGATAATCCATGTCATGATATTTATGCAGGTAAATGTTTTGTCATGTACATTTCTGACATAGTAAAGAGCTACTGTAAGATTAATAGTTTTTAAGACAAAGTTTGAAATTCTATAACAAACTACATACATGTCTGGGAAATTTAAAAACATGTACAGTAATTCACTTTGAGAGTAACCCAGCTTTGTCATTCTAACTAAACTTTCTTTCACATGCCAAAACCTGATTTCTCTTTAGACTGTTCTTTATTACTAAAATACATATACTGAACTACGAAAAAACGTGTACCACAATATGTGCTTTTATCCCCTTATCAGTGTTTTTAACTGAAAAACTGAATTGTACATTTGTCCATGTAATAATTTAACGTATGTCAGCCAAACAAATGTGTATCTTTATTTCAATTAAATTAAAAACAATCTGCAAGCATATTTATGCAACATTCTCTATATACACATGATTTATGCAAATGCAAGGCAATTCTACGTATGCTGATTAATCTATGGTTAGTAAAACATGACAATAACTATGGAAGATGGCCAGCGAGTGCTCCTTTTCACAAGTGACTGTGTTTTCATGGCGTGATTAAAGAAGAATAGTTACAAGCCATGAAATGGATTATCAGTAAACCTTAAAAAGAATGTGATATAACATAGCATAGATTAACAGTCTTCTAAACGTAGTAGAATATTTCAGACAATAGTGCTGTTTTTTTAAATTTTGCTGTCATTTTAATGACATAAGACTTTAATCTGCTCTGTTTAAAGAAAGCAATAATTACCCATTATGCTTCCTGGCAATAATTTCTTTTTCAACTGGCACCATAATATTTAATAAAATAATAATAAAGTACCTCTTTGGTGAAGCCTAGGTACCCATACTATTCACTGTAACAATTTGTAAACAGGACCGCATACAGTGCTATGCCTTAGTTCTAACATGGTTAGGTACCACAGATCTTCCTCACAGTCCTTTTCATGATTTTAGGAGAGTATTTTAAAGCAGGGAGTAAAGTAAAAAGGAAATTAAGAAGGATATAAAGTTCCCTGTTTGAGATTTTTAAAAAAGTGCATAATGTTTTCATTCTAATAACTGTGTTACTGTATAGAACTGATGGATACAAGACTATATTTTCCATTCCCGTACTGGACATTAGAGATCATTACACAAAACACGGTCTCCGCTTATTGGCCAGAAAAAGTCCCTTGAGTCAGTTTTCTGGTACAATCAGTTGTCCAATTACTTTAGAACAGCATCCTGCATACTACAACAGGAACAGCGAGTTTATCGGTTGATCACGTCTGCTTCAGCAATTCAGTTTCTGTACACTGCGTTCCCAACCTAGCATAGTTTTTAATGCATGGAGTATGCATCCAAACTCCTTGGCGCTAGCAGGTTCAGTGCATCCATTGCCAGCAACAGACGTAGTGCCAAGAAAATGCAACTCCCAGCACAAGGTACAATTCAGGAGGAGTGGGCGTTCTCCAGCAAGGGTGGTCCGTCTCGGTGCATCGATGGATGGGTGTGCTCCCGTTTGTAAGTTTTTGGAGGAAGCTTTGGGATATGTTGAGAAGTGCTTTGTCGTGGAGGGACAGGTGGCCCCTCAACAGAATGGAGGTCCACGTCCTGCGGTATCAAAGGAGGGGATGGCAGATGCCTCCGTGCTACATGTGGAGAAGGTGTCTGAGGGGGTGGGGGAGTAAATGGAGAGGGACTGTTTGGAAAAAAGGTATTGCCAAGTTCACTTTTTCTACCTAAGGGCGGTGGCTGGAGATGTAGTGGTGAACTAGAGAAAACATCAGGAGTTCGCACAGGTTCTCGCGGTGGTAATACAGGAGGGCTTTCAGGAGGATCAGATATGGAGGTCCGCTCTGGCACGGAGTATCTTGGTGAATAGGCTTTTGATGTTGGTTGTCGAGGAGGAATTGCTGGTGGACTGTCCAGATGCACAGAAGTAATCTGAAGTATACAAACATTTAATTCAAGGGTTATCATCTGTATTATGACAGCCCCAACGCCTCAATCAGGATCAGGGCCCTGGTTGTGCTACATGTTATATGAATATGTTCAAAGACTCAATCCCTGCCTCAAAACACTTAATGTCCAATTAAAGACAAGACACAGCCAACAAGTGTTAAACAGTTGAAGGGGGCAGGGGAGAGAGGACCCAGGCTGAGAGAGAATGAAGATACAGGGCAGTGGGGGACAGGGGAGGAAGTACTGGAGGCTGCAGGAGGGATAGTGGTCTGTGCTGCACAGTTTCTAAGCTAACTCCAGCTCAACTGCAGCAAGAGGCCAGGAATGAGTAAAATCCAAAGGCATGTACCCTCTAGAGAATGAGAGGGAAGAGAGGCAGATACTGTTTAATAGGAAAGGGAATGAATGATGTTCTGTCCTGAAGAAAGAATAAAGGGTGGGATCTTCAAAATGACCTAAGTGACTCAGTTGCACGCGTCCCACTGACAGCCAACGGAACTACAGCATAGTGTACGACATTGCCAGCTAAGGGCAGTATAGAATGCTGTATGACAAACATCAGACAGGCGAAGGCACAAAATAAGTTACATCCAGCAAGGGACATAAAAGGCAATGAGAAGAGGTTCTTTAAATACATCAGGAGCAAAAGAAAGGAAGGAAAGCATAGGTCCTCGACTTAGCAGGAGAGGAGAACTAATAACCGATGGTATCAAGAAAGTTGAAGTGTTTTATGCTTATTTTGCTTCAGTCGTCACTAAAAGGGTGAATGGTGACCAGATACTCAACACAATTAATATTGACAACAAGAGGGAAGGAATGCAAGTCAAAAGAGGGAAAGAACAGGTTAGGTAATCTCCCTAGGGAATCTGTTTCCTGGCAGTTAGGAAGTTTTTCCTAATGTCCAACCTAAACCCCCTTTGCTGCGATTTAAATCCATTGCTTCTTGTCCTGTCCTTAGTGGTTAAGGAGAACAATTTATCACCCTTCTCGTTGTCGCAATCTTGTATGTACTTGAAGACTATCATTTCCCTCCCCTTTCTCCTCTCCAGACAAAACAAGCCCAATTTTTTCAATCTTTCCTAGTAGGTCACGTTTTCTAGACCTTTAATCATTTTCGTTGCTCTTCTCTGGACTTCCTCCATTTTGTCCACATCTTTCCTGAAGTGTGGTGCCCAGAACTGGACACAATATTCTAGCTGAGGCCTTGTCAGTGCCAAATAAAGAGGAAGAATTACTTCTCATGTTTTGCTTACAATATTCCTGTTAATACATCCCAGAATGCTAGCCTTTTTTTGCAACAGTATTACACAGTTGACCCCTATTTAGTTTGTGATCCACTATAACACCCAGATCCTTTTCTGAAGTACTCCTAGGCAGTCATTTCCCATTTTGTATTTGTCCAACTGATTATTCCTTCTTAAGTGTAGTACTTTGCATTCGTCCGTATCGAATTGCATCCTATTTAATTCAGACCATTTCTCCAGTTTGTCAAGATCCTTTTGAATTCTAATCCTATCCTCCAAAGCACTTGCAACTCATCCCAGCTTGGTATTGTCCACAAACTTTATAAGTGTCCTCTCTATGCTACCATCCAAATCATGAATCATTTATGAAGATACTGAATAGAACTGGACCCAGGACAGATCCCTGTTGGACCTCGCTTGATATGCCCTTTCAGCACAATTATGAACCATTAATAACCACTCTGAGTAGTTTTCCAGCCAGTTGAGCACCCACCTTCTCGTAGGTTCGCCTAGACTATATTTCTCTAGTTTGTTCATGAGAAGGTCATAGGAGACAGCATCAAACGCCTTACTAAAGTCGAGATATATCCCATCTACTGCTTCCCCCCATCCACAAGGCTTGTTACCCTATCAAAGAAGGACATTAGGTTGTTGATTTTGAAAAATTCAGGTTGACTGTTACTTATTACCTCATTTTCTTCTAGTGCTTACAAATAGAATGTTTGATATTTGCTCCATTATCTTTCTGAGTACTAAAGTTAAACTGACAGGTCTTAACTCCCTGGGTTGTCCTTATTTCCCTTTTTATAGATAGGTACTATATTTTGCCCTTTTTCAGTCCTCAGGTATCTCTCCCATCCTCCATGAGTTCTCAAAGTTAATCACTAATGGCACAGAGCTCTCTTCAGCCAGTTCCTTAAGTATTCTAGGATGTATTTCATCAGGCCCCGCTGACTTGAAGACATCTAACTTGTCTAAGTAATTCTTAATTCGTTCTTTTCCTATTTTAACCTCAGATCCCACCCCATTTACACTGGTGTTCACTATGTTAGTCAACTTTTTGGTGAAAACTGAAACAAAATAGGCATTTAACACTTAGGCCATTGCTACGTTTTTCGTTATTGCCTTTCACTCCTCATTTAGTAATGGGCCTACACTGTCTTTGGTCTTCCCCTTGCTTCCCATGTATTTGTAAATGTTTCTTGTTACCATTTATATCCCTAGATAGTTTAATCTCATTTTGTGCCTTGGCCTTTGTAATTTTGTCCTTACACACTTGAGTTGTTTTTTCATATTCATCCTTTGTAATTTGACCTAGTTTCCACTTTTTGTAGGACTCTTTAGACTTTCGGAGCGTTGAAGATCTCTTGGTTAGCCAGGATGATTTCTTACCATACTTCCTATCTTTCCTGAGCACTGGGATAGTTCGCTCTTGTGCCCTTAATGATGTCTCTTTAAAAACCTGCCATCACCCCTGATCTCTTTTTTCCCTTAGACTTGTTTCCCACAGGCTCTTACCTACCAATTGCCTGAGTTTGCTAAAGTCTGCCTTCTTGAAGTCCAATGTGTTTATTCTGCTCTTGTCCCTCCCACCATTCCTTAGAATCATAAATGATATCATTTCATGATCACTTTCACCCAAGCTGCCTTTCATCCTCAGATTCTCAACTAGTTCCTCTCTGTTTGTCGGAACCAAATCTAGAACAGCCTCTCCCCTAGTCGCTTTCTCCACCTTCTGTAATAAAAAGTTGTGTCCAATGCATCCAAGAACTTTTTTGATAATCTGTGCCCTACAGTATTATCTTCCCAACAGATGTCTGGGTAGTTCAAGCTTCCTATCACCACCAAGTCCTGGGTTTTGGATGATTTTGTTAGTTTTTTAAAAAAACAGTCTCATCTACCTCTTCTTCCTGGTTAGGTTAGACGTTAGGAAAAACTTTCTAACTATAAGGGTAGTTAAGACCTGGAATAGGCTTCCAAGGGAAGATGTGTAATATTTATCACTGGAGATTTTAAAGAACAGATTAGACCTCTCAGGGATGATCTAGTTTTACCTGGTCCTGCCTCAGCACAAGGGGCTGGATTGGATAATTTCTCGGTCCATTCCAGCCCTATATGGTTATGATTCTATGATCCTATGCCACTGACAGCCAACAGGACTACAGAATATTGTATGCTGCCGACAGCCAAGAGGACAGTACAATACTGTACGCCACCGAAAGCCAATGGGACTTGGGCTCCTATATTACTTCAGTGGTTTTGATAATTTCACCCTAATTTTCTAAGGCCCTGAACAATCTCACGCTTAAGTCAAAAGAGCTTTGTCAATGCCTCCAACAAGTGCAGGATCAGGTCCCAAATGAAGACCAATGGCCAGACAAGCACATACAGCAAGAGGAAAGAGGAGAGATCGAGTATGAAGGCAGGCAAGAAATGGCAACCGGCAGAGGAAACACTAAACAAGATGTCATTAGGTTAGTATATTTTATTTCATCTTTTAGGGAAGATTGTAGGGTTTAAGACTTCTCACATTACTGCTATTTTTTAGCACTTTACTTCCCATAGCCTCCTTTTGGACTATCTTCCTGGACAAGGAGGTTTACATGAAACCTCAAGTGCTCCCAGCCAATGCCAGGATAGGAGCCAAGAAGCTCAGGGCAGGAGAATAAGAAACATTTCTCACCCTAAATTTAGACCCTTTTGCTATTATTTTAATTAGTTTTAAGCCTGGGGCAGATGAGACGATGTTGCACAGAGCTGTCGCTGTGCAGGTGTGAGGCATAGCGCTCCTTATTCTTACCCATCTAATTGAACTAACAAGGTATGACTCTTTAAAAGTTATTTTTCCCTTTACCCTAACCCTCACTTTTCAGGCACTGGCTTATGCGTGAAGTCTGATTTGGGCATTTCACCTGAATGCGATAGGTATTGGGCCCACAGCTTTCTCACCTTTGATGGGGATGATTCTGCTGGGGCAGACTCTGGTCGTCTCCGTGGAGGAACAGGAGGAGGACCAGAAGTTTCATCAGAGATTTTGGTAAAGCTTATGGATGACACAGATGCAGATCCTGATGGATATTTAAAAAACAAAAACCTTCAACATGATGTACTTTATCTGCCCTTTACTCGTTCGGATTGCTTTTAATGACCACTTAATTAGCAACAATTTGCTTTTACTGAAATACGAATGCAAAGGAGATAATTCAGCACACCATCATCATGTCTTTTTTTGCTCATAAAAGAACAACTGTGAAGTATGGAGATCCTTGTGTGAAACTAAAGTAAGCTACCTATGAAATATATATTTTATGGGAGGCAGCATGACTCAGTGGACAGGATGGCCCAGCAGATAGGGCACTGGAATGGAACTCAGGAGATCTGGGTTCTATTCCCAGCTTTGACATTGGCCCGCTGAATGGCTTTTGCTGTGGGCAAGTCACTTCACCTCCCTGTGCTCCTGTTATATTAATCTGAAAATGAGGCTGGTGATATTTATCTCCTTTGTAAAGCATTCTGCAGCATACTGATGAAAACTGCTCTAAAACTAGGTATTAATTATTATTATTATTATAAGTGCATTACAGAATGAGTAGCCTTCTTTGCCTGGTAGTGAATGAAGGGAGAGAGGGAACTGATGTATTTGTATGTCTAGGAATAACTGATGGATTTGGTGGAGGGGGGAATTGTGTGCAATTATTCTTCAATTTCATGGAAACTTTATGTTTTTTAACTCTACATTTTTCTTGAGAACATTTAGGCAGGTCTGGCAGCATAATACTTCTAAGCTCTCATCTAGTGCAGTGGTTCTCAACCTTTCCAGACTACTGTACCCTTTTCAGGAGTCTGATTTGTCTTGCATACCCCAAATTTCACCTCCAATTAAAAACTACTTGCTTACAAAATCAGACATAAAAATACAATGTGTCACAGCAAACTATTACTGAAAAATTGTTTACTTTTTCATCCTGTCTGTATAAAATTTTAGTTTGTACTGACTTCGCTAGTGCTTTTTATGTAGCCTGTTATAAAACTAGGCAAATATCTAGCTGAGTTGATGTACCCCCTGGAAGACCCCTGCGTACCCTCAGTGGTACACGTACCCCTGGTTGAGAACCACTGGTCTAGTGCTTTTCATCATCAGATCTCAAAGTGCTTTACAATTAAGGTCAGTATCATTATACCCATTTTGCGTATAGGGAAACTGAGACACAGGGAGGTGAAGTGACTTGCCCAAGGTCACCCCAGCAAATCTGTGGCCAAGCTGGGAATAGAAATCAGGTCTTCCAATTCCCAGTCTAGTGCTCTATCGACTACACCACACTGCCTCCCTATGAATTAGGCAGAAGAGGTAAATTTTTATCCTCATTGTTCAATAACAGACTACCAGTCAGCCTGTGTACCAACTGCAAAACCCTGATGCTGAATTCACCACAAACTTTCCATCTTGGCCATGATTTTTTTAAATGGAAGTTTAGATTCTGGAGCACAATTCTGCATCAAGGAGTGGTTTGGTAGCAAATTCCATTGCTGCAGCATCATGGAATACGTGGGGCCAAGGATGTGTCCCTTTCCACATTCTGCTCTCGCAGAAACTGGAAGAGAACATGGAATGACGTACAAGCAAGATTCCTAACCTATCCCATCTCTCACTTGAAAATAAACTTAAAGATAATAGTAATCTAAGTAAAAATGCATTGAAACTGTCTGCCATTGTGCAAGGAGGCAAAAACATCTGCAGATAGATCATTTTGGTCCTTCAAATTTGCTATATCAATTTACATCATAAAATAGGACAAACACATTTGTGACTGTCCTCATTATTTAAATGCATTCCTAGCATTCCTAGCTTTAGCACTTACTTGAATGAAAAGGACTTGAAGGATCTGAATCAAAGACGCTGCAGACATCTGTAGTACTGGAAGTAGCAGAGGCAGGGGGTGGTGTCAATGGTGTTCGTGGAGAATTTGGTGCAGATGCTGTACTTTCTGACTCACTCTCAGGGATGCGACTGTAACTAATTTTTCTTGGCTCCTGTTGCAGCGGTGTAGGGTGTCTCATGGTACCTGGCCTTGGGTTCGATGGACGAACACCCGGAGATTTGAGGGAATAGCTGTATTTTTTTGGCTGCAGTGATACCAAATATCAATATTGTGCAGTTAAAAACCTTGCAGTGAATTGAAAGTATACATTTTAAAAATCAAATTACCTTCATCTCCATCACAAAATCAGTTAAATGCAGCTTCATCATTATGCATATAAATTCTAAAACAATCTCTGCTGCATTGTGGGAAACATTTTTGAAGTTAAGAAAAAAATAAAATCTGAATACTAACAAATCTTGGTGGAGGCTTGGAATTTCGCGGCTCTATTTCTAATGACTTGTTGAACAGATAATCTGTGAATTCTTTCTCCATGCTATTTCCCATTGGATTCAAATTTTCAAAAAACCTCTGAAACACAGGAAGTTTAGGAAGATTACATCGTATAAGTTACTTTCATGGGGCAGATTCTACATACTTTATGATACAAGTAGTCCCAACGGTTTCAAAAGCACTATGTAAGTACTATTCAGCAAAGGTGAATTATATGAAATTTAACTTAAAAAAAAAAAATCAGTAAAAATATCAAACATAACTGACAATCATTTCACAATTTCCGTTACTCTGGCAAACTAGGGGCAAGAGCTTGCAAACTGCCAGCACACAGAAATCCACTGACTTGGGAGGACATCAGTAAAACCCATGTGCGTTACCTCACCTCTCCTTAGGACTTCACTACAAGGAGGAAAACACGGTGTTTTAAGGCATGTATGTAAGAAATGACTTACAAACAGGGTTGAAAGGCCAATTTATACTAAAGACTTTTTTTTCCTTTTAGGATTTGTAGTAACTTCAATGTAGAAAGGAGAAGTCATATTTTAATACAGCAGAAGAGAAAACTACCTAAATTCTGCTTCTGTCAAGATAGCAACATGCAGGATTTCCACTCATGGATCATGGAAAATGACATAGCTCCTGCAGAGAGCTTTGCTGACCTCTGCCAAGAAAGAACGGGCCAGTAGGCTAAGGTACTGGGAGTCAGTGGATCATGCTGGTCAGCAGACGAGGAGCCTCGTGTACTGCCTGCTACTACTGGTGTCTTATAGTGTGAAAAAACTCTATGAGCAAGGGACATCCTGCACTGTGTCACATAAAGCTGGAGACCCAGGAGCAAACAGCCTGCTCTACAGATTCCTTTGATTTTCTCTATTAAAATTATTTCTGAAATAATCACCACAAAGAAGCTCTCAATATTTCAGCATAAGAAAATGCAACTTACCCGGATATCAGGTTCTATTCGTAAGCAGTATGGCTGGTTTTGGTACTGCTGGATCTCCCCTGTTATTTCAGCTACTTTCCTTCTCTTGCTGAAGTTTATAAGTTCTTTTCCATGTCGCTTTAGAAATTCAGGGTTGCCTTCTTCTGTTTTCAAGATGTTAGTCAAATAAATTCCTAAAACAGCGAAGAGAGTAAGAACATTCAGATACTACAGTACAAAACTATGAGGAAATAAACAATATAGCTGGAATATGAAGCCCTTTTAAAAGAATTAAACTTGTGTATTTTAATTACTCAGGCCTGATCTATACTAAAAAATTCGGTTGGCATAACTACATCGCACAGGGGTGTGAAAAATCCACACCCTTGAGTGGCATAGCTAAGCTGACTTAAGTCCCTGTGTAGCCATGACTAGGTCAATGGAAGAATTAGTCTGTCAACCTAGCTACCACCTCTCGGGCAGGTGGATTACCTTTGCTGATGGGAGAACCCCTCCTGTTGGTGTAGGCAGTATCTACAATGAAGTGCTACAGTGGCACAGCTGCGCCACCGTGGAGTTTTAAGTGCAGGGTATACCCGTAGAAACAAAATTTTCTCTATCACAATCAATGACAGTTGTCTGCTTTACAAATAATGGCAATATCTTAAACCTTTCCTTGAAACTGCCTGTTTGCATGAGAATCTCAAGATCAATCTATTTATTTACCTACCACTTACAAAGCACACACCACATGTATTAAAAAACAACAGGGACTTAAGAAATTCAGAGTTGCCTTCTTCTGTTTTCAAGATGTTAGTCAAATAAATTCCTAAAACAGCGAAGAGAATAAGTTATGTTTGAATGTTGTGAGGCAATGTAATTTCATTGAGCTGACAGAAGTGGAGAGCTCTAAGTGTTTCCTTCCTCTCACCAGCATTGCCTTATTCATTCTCGGTTTAGCTCTAGCCAGTTACTGATCTGAGCCAAGCCCTGGATAACGGAGATGATGCTTTTTATGCCTGATGTGGCGCTAGCCACTGTCTGCGTATTGCTGGCAGTTTAGTCCATGCTGTGTCAATCTCCCCTAATGGTTTCACAGAGATATTGAACAACAAGAGGACTAACGAGAGACAATGGAACCCACAGGAACTCCACAGATGAGGGCACTGGACCTGTGAGGGGGGTCCATCATTGAGTCCTCGGGTGCACGGCTTTTGTAAATGGAAACCATGCTTCACCAACCTATTCACATTCTTTGAGGGGGTCAACAAACATGCGGACAAGGATGATCCAGCTGATACAGTGGACTTGGACTTTCAGAAAGCCTTTGACACAGTCCATCATTAAAGGCTCTTAAGCAAAGTACACAGTAATGGGATAAGAGACGTTCCTCTCATGCATCAGTAACTGGTTACAAGATGAGTAAGAAAGGGTAAGAATAAATAGGCAAGTGTTCCTAGGGGAGAGAGGCAAATAGCAGGGTCCCCTCCAAGATCTGTAGTGGGACCGGTGCTGTTCAACATATTCATAAATGATCTGAAAAAAGGGGTAAACAGTGAGGTGGCAAAGTTTGCAAACAATATAAAATTACTCAAGATAGTTAAGTACAAAGCAGACTGCGAAGAGTTACAAAGAGATCTCACAAAAGTGAGTGACTGGGCAACAAAATGGCAGATGAAATTCAATGTTGATGAATGCAAAGTAATGCACATTGGAAAATATAATCCCAACTATACATCCAAAATGATGGGGTCTAAATTAGCTGTTACCTCTCAAGAAAGATCTTTGAATCATTGTGGATAGTTCTCTGAAAACATCTGCTCAACGTGCAGCAGCAATCAAAAAACTAACAATGTTAGGAACCATTAGGCAAGAGATACATAATGAGACAAAAAAATATGATAATGCCGCTATATAAATCCATGGTAGGCCCCTGCTTGATGGTCTGGTTGTTCCATCTCAAAAAAGATATATTAGAATAGGAAAAAGTACAGAGAAGGGCAACAATAGTGATCAGGGGTATGGAACAGCTTCCACGTAAGGAGAGATCAAAAAGACTGGGGCTGTTCATCTTAGAAAAGAGACAACTAAGGGGGGAATATGATACAGGTCTATGAAATCATATATTGTGTGGAGAAAGTGAATAAGGAAATGTTATTGACCCCTTCACATAACACACAAACCAGGTGTCAAACAATGAAATTGATAGGCATCAGGGATAAAACAAACAGAAGGAAGTACTTCTTCACACAATGCACAGTCAATCTGTGGAACTCACTGCCAGGGGATGTTTTGGCCTTCACAAGTATAACTGGGTTCAAAAAGAATTAGATAAGTTCCTGGAGAAAAGGTCCATCAATGTCTATTAGCCAAGATGGTCAGAAATGCAACTCCATGCTCTGAGTATCCCTAAACCTCTGACTGCCAGAAGCTGAGATTATCCATCCTCTGTTGTCCAATTTGATAATTGCCCTGTTCTACTGATTCCCTCTGAAGCATCTGGCACTGGCCACTGTCGGAAGACAGGATACTGGGCTAGATGGACCATTGGTCTGACCCAGTATGACCGTTCTTATGTAGCAAACACAGAAGATTCAGACTTGGGCCATGTGGAGGTAAGAAGGAATTAGAGAGACATCAGTCCATGCTGCCCTTTATACACTTGGTTTGGAGCACAAGAAACTACTTTGCATGTGTAGATCAATGGACACCGCTTACTAAAAATTTCCAGACTCGGGCGCATGGTGCCCAGGCCTATCTGTGTGTGGAATACACATACCCCGTGTTTTCCCGAAAATAAGACAGTGTCTTATATTAATTTTTGCTCCCAAAGATGCGCTAGGTCTTATTTTCAGGGGAGGTCTTATTTTTCCTGGAGCTTCGGGGCCTTATATTCTGGGGTGGCCTTATTATCGGGGAGGTCTTATTTTCGGGGGATGTCTTATATTACAGCGAGAGGCAAAACTGGAAGTAGGTCTTATTTTCGGGGGATGTCTTATTTTCGGGGAAACAGGGTAGCAACCATCACTCGAAGAATAACCATCGTTATTCCAAGTAATGTGCACATTACAAGGATACCATCAACTTCAGAAAAATCATATTTCTGTCTAAATGGTCCTTTAAAAAACACTTTTTTCCCTGCAAGCAATACCTAAAGTCAGTAGAACGGATTAGAAAAAATACTTCTCTGTTTTTCCCCAGTTTACTTTGTGGTCAGTTAATTCTTTCCTCTGCATATTCAGTCATATTGCCCGTTTGTGTGGATCTTTCACACAGTAGTAGGGGAGATGAAATGTTTTACAACCAGACAGCTGAAACTAAGTTTAACTCCTTTTAAAAAAAACTGACTGGACTTCAAGCTCACGGTGTTCCTTTAAAATATACTTCTCACTTCTGCTTGTATTTCTGTAGAGTGCTTTAGCTCAGTCTTTGTAAAACACTGACATTTCTTTTATACTGTTCATCCCGAATCAAACCTACTTACCAAAGAAAGGCACACATGGAGGATTAATGGACCTGAGTTTTGCCAAATATTTCTTATAGTGATCCTCACTCAATTCATGAGCTTCTTCTAAAATCTTTTTCTGTCGACTTGGAATTTGCTGAAAAGATATACAGATCGGTTAGTGAGGAGGGGATTGTGGTACAGTGCCCGATCTACAAGACTAGGACTGACAGCTGACACTGCCTTGTTGTGTGACCTTGGGTAAGTCACAGGCCCAGATTTTTAAAGGCATTTACATGTTGTTGTAACAGCATAAATCAGTTTGGTGTTGCAATGCTCAGCACAGCAACATCTCAATACCCTTAAAATTCTGGCCCTTAACCTCTTTGGGACTCGGTTTCCCCATCTAAAAAATGGGATACTAACACTTTGAGATCTAGAGATGAAAAGAGCTATATGGGTATATAAGAATCAGGACATTGAACCTCCAACCAGGTCAGCTAGGGCTCTTACAAAAGCCTGACTTTCATACATATCCCTCAGCCCCTGACCATAATCTTGCTATTATAGTAGCTAAGTAAATTATTGCTGCGTGCAGCCTTGATTTCCTCTCAATCATAATATTGGTAGCATACCTCTAAAATCTTTAAATCCTGCAAATGCCTATGGAAAATTCAGTTACGCACCCACATGTCAGTGAGGGTCAAGCAGCCCAATTAACTGGGTATGGATCCTATGCTAAAGTATATGGAAGGAACCTGCTAGGAGATGCAGACTATTTTCCTGTTTCCTGCAGCTGGCGTGTTCCACCTCTTTCCCCAGACACCCACTGCTCTGATCAATCTGCCTATGCCTCTCTGATAATCATCTTTTATTTTCAATCTTGCCTGATACTGGTTTCAGGGAGTGGGCTCTGGTGATTTGCCATGTCTTTCTGCCTTGCTCACCACTGTATTCGCTTTGGGGACCCCTGAAATTAGAGGTAACCACCTCTGACATTACATAGAAATTTATAGCTATATTTTACACTCTCATTCAATCTTCCACGGGTGATTTTACTTCCCTTGGGGAAGCCAGAGACACTGTACACTTATATTTGTGGTGCAGCCTGCATATTGTTGAAGTATTCGCTTTTCCTGCTTTGTGCACAGTAGTCCTTGCCAATGGTTCAGTTGATCTGCTACATCAAATGATCCTACACTGAGAACTAAATCCTCAGATGATGCAAATAACAGAAGTCATAATTGGAGGAGTTCAGAGGACTAGGTACAGCACTACAAATAGAACTATGCACACATGTGCAGTACATCTGGGGATTCACCATCATTGGTTTTTTCCCTCCCCAACAACTCAAAAGTGATGGAAGGAATTTTAGTAAAACTTTTCAGAAACGTTCGTCTTTGGTCAGAGATTCAGCCCAAAAGGCAAAAGTTGTAGAAAACTGTAAGCATCTGAAAAATGAGTTATAATAGTGATCGTTTTGCAACCTTTAACTATAGTATTTGCTGTCACTGACCCTGTAATAAACCAGCATTTTTTTAGAAAGTCTAACAATGAGCTATGACAAATTTCCTTCAGTTCTGAGTGTTGGTGCAGCTATTCTTCCATATTTTTCATTAACTGTTTCCCCTTATTTGTAATATTTCTATATTGAATATTTTTTAAAAAAAATTCAGTTGAAAAGTTTTTCTTCATCTTCCCTTTAAGACACTGTTCTTTCTGTTTATTTCAGGTTTTTAACCCTCATCCTCCTCTGTGCTTTATTCTTTCACTCTAGTTTTCTGCTTTATTCTCCTCAGCCCCTTCTAGTCTCTCCTCTCTGTCTTGTGATTGGCAGTGCCTGTGCCCAGACAGTGTGAATATTGAGTATAAAAGCAAAAGCTCCTTCAAAGCCCAAGAACCCTTTACCACCCTTAATGTGCTACTGAAAGGAGAAGCATTTATAGTAACAGAATGTAACTTAACTGTTACAGTTTCTAGATTGAAAACTGAAAACATTGTAACTTACCTCAAATGTGTGATCCAGTCTATACACAGGTGAAGAGTTCATAGCACTCACAACTTCAAGAACACCATTGAAGTTATTTAGCTCTTGAAAAACTTGCAGGATCTCAATTATCCGACTCACTACAATTACTCTTTCCTCTAGGTTTTCTGTTTCTACGATGCATCTAAGTACACAAGCAGAACGCTAATTTTGTAGAAATAAAACAGAGCCAGAACTCTGCCAAGCAACAAAGATTCAGCTATAGCACAAAGTGTACCATTTTGAAATGTTTCAACAGATCCAACAAGGCCCACCAAATAACTGGAGGGAGATTTAGAAACATTTAGAACAAGTTCGGTCCCGTTTCTCAGGTTAAAAAGCTGGGAATATTAGAAGTAGGCTTCAAAGGATTAGATTTTTATCAATAAAAGTTGATAAACACTGATTTCAACATATACACATAAACCAACACAAAAATATTTCTATTGATGATGATAAAAGTTTATAGACAGGCAAAGCAAGAAAAATGCTGCTTGAGAACTTAGAGTTTGATTTCAGGACATTTACTTTGTGTATTTTGACATGTGATGTTGACAATTTTGTTTTAACAGTTATAAAGCTTTAACTATCTGAATCCCAACATCTACTATCATTAAATAATTATCGTCTGACACCCCCCTTGTCTGACCCTTGCAAAATTTTCCACAATTGTGAAAGTTTAAATAGATAAAAATTAAAAAAAAAAAAAGCTTAAAACCCATAATTTTGTGCGACTGTGAACATTTTTTTCGTTTTTTAAATCAAAACCAGTGCTTAAAAATAAACACATTTTCTGTCGAAATTAAAAAAAGAAAAAATTAAAATCAAATTCTGCCAAGCCTACTTACAAGTAGTTGTTCTCAGAGGCAAACTGAAACATTTAGCCATTGCCCGAGTAGAGGCTTCCCCAAGGCAAAATTTCTCCTCAGGTTATCTCTCAGGAAGTATCTGAATGAACTATATAGATACACTAACATTCCAGAAGAAGAGATTTAAAAAACAAACGAAAAACCCCCTTACTTTTCAAACCACAAAGTGAGATTAGTGGTGTGCCGTATCATTTTGAGAAGGTTGGGAGAATTAATTTCTTTATCTTCCTTGGTCCACACACTTCCAACTAGTTCGGATGGCTGTACAGCTCTAAAAAATAATAATAAAAAAAAATAAAGCACAATAATATAAAACGTCTAAAAAAGACTACCATTATTCCAAAAAAAGTCTTAATTAACAACCTAGCACACAACATGTGTCAAGGGGGTATGCCAATAGTGGGGGATCTGTACAGAGGGCCTGCAGAAGTAATTTTGGGAATATTTTGGGTTTGTGTAATAACGTAGTACAGTAAATTCAGTTTTTCAGTGGAGGAAAAATACCTGTAAAGATCTGACTCGAGTAAAGTGAGCTGTCGAGCAATTTCTATTGGGTGCAAAGTGAGCAAGTCAAAAGTTTCTGGCTGTCCTGGCTTGCTTATATGCCACTCAATTGCAGGAGGTGAACTTTCAAAAGTAATATTGTGGCTTGGCCCAATGGCTTGTGCCTGCTTTTTCCGGTAGATTATCTTTGTGATTGATTCAACCCATTTCTTCATAGCTTTACCTGGAATAAAGAGACATCATTAATATTTCTTTAACCCTTTTAATTCTATGTTTCTCCAAAGAGGCCAATGTCATTTTTTAAATCTCCATGTTACAAACATTATGCCTCAATACTCTGAGGTAAGTAAGCATTCTCCCCAATTTACAGAAGGGCAAACAAGCACAGCAGGGTTTCACTCACACAAAGCCAAGCAGCGGCAAAGCTAGAAATAGTAGTAGGAGCCCAGTGATCCTGGTAGTAGCATATACGTAATTCCTTCTGAATTAATGGGAGTTTCACACATGGAACCGAAGGGAAAACTGGACCCCAGAAAAAAACAGTTACTAACCTTTTCTGTAACTGTTGTTCTTTGAGATGTGTTGACCATGTCCATTCCACTTCAGGTGTGTGCATGGCCAGCGTGCTAGTGTTGAAGATCCTTCCATTAGTGGTACCTGTTGGGCAGAGCCGCCCTCAACCTCTCTCACTTCCTTCTTATCAGACAGACACCAATAAAGAGGGGAAGGAAGGTGCGTTGTGGAATGGACATGTGCAACACATCTTGAAGAACAGCAGTTACAGAACAGGTTAGGTAAGCATTTTTTCTTTGAGTGACTGCACATAAATTATAAATTAATGGAGATATCCTATCTCCTAGAACTGGAAGGGACCTTGAAAAGTCATCAAGTCCAGCCCCCTGCCTTCACTAGCAGGACCAAGTACTGATTTTTGCCCCAGATCCCTAAGTGGTCCCCTCAAGGATTGAACTCACAACCCTGGGTTTAGCAGGCCAATGCTCAAACCACTAAGCTATCCCTCCCCCGTCCATTTCAAGTCAGGTGACTCACAAGCATTACAAACTGGAGGTGGGATCAGAATCTACCTAAATAATGATTAAAGCACCACACGTCCAAATCTGCCATCATCTCTAGACTGCTGAAAGATGGCATAATGAGATGCAACAGTATGAACTAATGACCAAGTTGCAGCTCTACAAATGTCCTGTACAGGCACATGAACTAGAAAAGCTCAGAAGCTGCTTGTTATCTTGTTGAATGTGCCAGCACTGTGCTTGGCAGAGTCACAATGTGTCATAGCACAAATGTATACAGTAGGAAATCCATAATGATTATTCTTTGAAATGAGACCCTTCAAGCTGTCTGCGACTGCCACAAACAGCTGTGAGGACAATCTAAACAGTTTCTTCCAAGGAGAAAGCTAATGCTCTCCTGACAGCCAATGCATGGAATCTCTCCTTGTCCTTATGAGAATGAAACTTATGAAAGAAGGGCTGTAAGTATATTGGCTGATTGATATGGAAGTGTGACATTACTTTGGTCAGAAATTTTGGATGTGGGCTTAAGTACACTTTGTCTTTGTAAAAGACTGTATAAGGTGGGTCAGACACCAGGGCTTGCAATTTTCCTACTCTCTGTGGAGAGACAATCGTCACCACAAAGTTCACTTTCATTAAAAGATGAAGCAACGAGCAGGTAGCCAACAGATCAAAGGGAGGACCCATCAGCCTTAATAACACCAGATTTAAGTCCCAAGGAGGGATAGGATACTCCACTTGGAGAAATAAAGGGTTCAGACCCTTTAAGAACCTGAGTGACACTGGTTTGAAGAATACAGAGCAATCTGCAACTGGAGGGTGGAAAGTGGAGATAGTTGCTAGGTGAACTCTGATGGAAAGACCTTGACGTGTCAGCTGTATCAAATAGTCCAGGATATGCTGTATAGGAGCCCAGAGTGGAGAAACACCTTTCTGCTGAGACCACAAGAACTGCTTTCACTTCAACAGGTAAGTGTACCTAGTAGGTGGTTTCTTGCTATTCAAAAGAATGTTTTGTACATTCCTTGGACAGATCTCCTGAGGTACTTCCCACAGAATATCCAGGATGTAAGATGAAGAGTCACTGGTTAGGATGAAGGAGGTGACTGTAGTTCTGAGAGATCAGGACTGATTCTGGAGGTTGTGTCAGCGGAGCCCAAGTTGAGAGGCTCAGCAGAGTGGAAAACTAATATTGGGAAGGCCCCACCGGTGTTATGCGGATTGTACGAGCATGATCCTGCTTGATTTTTAATAATACTCTGGGGAGGAGAGGAACTGGAGGGTAAGCATAAATGAGTTTGTCCTTCAGGGTAACAGAAAAGCATCTGTCAGGGATGCTGGATTGTGACCCACTCTTGAGAAAAAAAAAAGAAAAAAGAAAAAAGAAAAAACCCACCCTGCTGACACTTTCAGATGTGACGAGTTGTAAACAGGTCTACATGGGGAACCTCTATGCTTGAAAAATGACTCTTACTATATCTGGCTGGAGATACTACTCATGGCGACTGGTGAAAGACCTACTCAAGCCATCTGCTGAAGTGTTCTGAATACCCAGACGGGGTTTGGGGTGAACTGTATTGGTGATACAAAACTCCCAAAGCTGTATTCCCTCTTAGCACAGGAGATTCCATCTGGCCCCTCCTTGTCTGTTCACATAGAACATTGCTGCTGTATTGTCCATAAGAACTAGGAAATTTCTTCTTTTCTGTGGGGAAGGAAAGTGTGACAAGCTAAGTAGAGAGCTCTCAACAACCTCACATTTATGCGGAGAGCTATCTATCTCTTGGCCAGACCAGAGACTCCCCAGGTGGGTTCCCCAACCTAGGGAAGAAGCGTCTGTAACCGGAGTCAATGTTGATTGTAGAGGAACAAAAGGAACTCTCATATGTACACTGGCTGGGTACACTCACCAGTTCACAGAACTTAAGACCTCCTCTCAGTCCTACTGGCTGTAGATGGCAATGAAGGTGTTTGCCACAACACCTTTGTGGGTTCCAGAATATTCTCATTTATGGAGCAAGCCCCTCAGGAGGCCCTGCAGACCCCAAAATGTCCACCAATCTGTGCATGCTTATCTGAACTACTTCTACCTGTAATTCCAGGGAGGAAGCAACCCTCTTCAACAGAGGTGGAGCCTCCCTTTACAACTCCACTGGAGGAACCACCAGGCCAGAGACTGAGTGATGCCTTGGTACTGGGCGTCAGCCCCCAGACAAGTGGAAACCAAAATATACACCAAGAACAATACTAAATAAATTAAACATATCTAAACTAACTATAAAACTACTAGACGAGTACCAACTACATATACTAGAAAAACAAATTCCCAGCAAGTGGGAAAAAAGCACTTGTAAGAGCAAGCTACCATGCTCTGACTACTTTCATGAGTGGTAAGAAGGAATGGAGGGGAGGCTGGGGGCAGCTCTACCCTTCATAACATTGAGCAGTAGTATGAGGTAGCAAAGGGCATACGTCCTGCACTGACAGGTATCACTAAGGGAAAAATCTACGACACTAGTGCACTGGGTGCGCACACACCTCAAGTGGAATGGACACATGCAATCACTCAAAGAACTCCCGCATCCCAGTCTTATGCTCTGTCCACAAGACCAAAGATTTCCAAACTGGCCAGTCTACAGAATTTGCTGACAGTCCACAGTGAACTGATAGTCACTGTACACAGTGAACTGATAGCTTGTTCTCTTCCTGTTTCAAGCTGCTAAATATACATTAAACACTTTCCTAATATAACCTTTTCCTGTATGCAACAGCTGTAGCTGCCACAGGGATGTTTCATTATTAAAAATGAATGGGGAAGTCTTGCTACACAATTATGAACTGGAGGGGGGGCAGCCTATGTAATAACCTCTCAAGATGTGGTCCACACTGTAAAACAGCTTGAGAATCCCTGCTCTAGAGTACACTGTTTCCTCCATTAAGCTTTTATGAAAGTTACTCCTAACTATAGCTTAAGGGATTTCCCCCAATAAGCAGATGACCAAAGACTATTTTGACCTGCTTTCAAAACTAACCACTCAGTTGCTGGCAATTTTTCAATTATTTCAATTCATTTTCAATATAACTAGAATAATATTTTTGCCATCAGAGTTAAGTAACATGGATCATATTTTTCTAAATAGGCACCATATTTTTGGGAATGAAAATAGCAGTTGATTTTTAAATAAAGGTTTATTCAAGTTATTCACTGAGTAACATAAGTCATCATAAGCACCCAACATTTCATTTTCCTTCATCCACTGACCGCAAGGAAGCATCACCACATAATAAAGATGTCTAACACTGGACATATTCTAAAATGCTGATATCTATTGTAATCATAAATACCTCTTACTGTCCCAATGAATTCTTCCAATCGGTGCAAAAGATCTACATCTCTCTCAAAGTCATAGAAGTGGTGCTCTACCCAGTGTCGGCATACATTTAACACTCTACAACATTAAAGGAAAGATTATAAAGTCTTTGTGAGAAGAGACTGTCTGTCTATGTCTGACAATGCCTAGCACCATGGCTTAGATGGGATCTCCAGGTGCTACTGTAAGAATTAGACCATACAGGAGGGTGAACCAAGGGATCAATTGCAGCTAATATACAGTTTTCATTTCACATTAAACATTCACAAAAAAATGTGCACATCTAGTTCTTGCCTTAAATACATTTACCGTATATACTCGTTCATAAGCCGAATATTTTTGGTAAAAATGTGACGCATCAAAGAGCAGGGTCAGCTTATAAACGGGTCTACACCAAAATGTGATGATTTTAAACTCTATGGAATCAATGAATTGAATATTGAATACATTGTCATTTTGTTTACCTGGAGCGTCTGCAGGCATGGTCAGCTCCCTGTGGCCACAGTTTGCCGTTCCCAGCCAATGGAAGCTGACAGGCTCCATGCCTGCAGATGCTCCAGGTAAACAAAACCTCCCGACCCACCAGCAGCTTACCCTGATGGCCAGGAGCCAAACTTTGCCAACCCCTGAAATATAGGGTCGGCTTATGAAAGGGTAATACAGTTTTTGCTATTTTTACCTAACCATCTTGGGGGGGTCAGCTTATAAACAAACGGGTAATGAACGAGTATATATGGTATATATTAATTTCACCTGAAAGCTCTGAATAATGCTGTCAGTTAGAAAACAATGTTACTTACTTAGGTCACATCTACATTAGGAATGCTTTGCTGGTATAGATGTAGCAATATACTACACTGGAAAGGCACCTCTAGAGTGGATGCAGCTTATACTGGCAAAACTGAGGGCTTGTCTTCACAATGGAGCTAAATCGGTGCTGCTGCAATTGATGCAGCGGCATCGATTTAGCGGGTCTAGTGAAGCCACGCTCAATTGATGGAAGAGCGCTCTCCCATCGATTTCTGTACTCCACCTCAACGAGAGGTGGAAGCAATGTCGGTGGGAGAGCATCTCCCGTTGACATAGCGGAGTGTGGACCCCGTGATAAGTAGATCTAAGCTACATTGTCTTGAGTTACGCTACTAACGTAGCTCACATTACGTAGCTTAGATCGACCCGCAGCTGTAGTGTAGACCAGGCCTGAGATTTTGCCAGCATAGCTTATTATAGCTCCCTGAGTGAAACAAGCTACACAGGCAAAAGTGCAGGTTTGCCAGTATAACTGAGTCTACAGTAGCCTTACTGCTCCATCCCTCAAGCCACTAGAAGCACAGATTTCAGAAAACCCATTAGGGAGCATTAGTGCCTAATTTGCATTGTAGCATTCTAGAACCTAAAACTTTATAAAAGCTGACCCCTTAACCTGTCCTCACTTCTCTATTTCAGAGAGTCTTCAGAAGGATTCCGAAGTATACCGAAGGTGGGAGGGATCAGTGTGCATCTGCAGAGACAATACATTCAGAAAACTCCATTTATAAGAAAATAACTTTTTTTTTATTATCCAATGAGTTATGTACTGTAAAGAAAGGAGCTTTGTGGTTCTATAAATGTTTTATAAGCTGAATCAATGAAACTGAGGATGCGTTACTAGGTGGGAATCAGGTTCCCGATTGCTGTGATGCAAACTAGGCATAAGTGCCCCCTCATAGCTTTACCACTTTGTCAGTAGCTCTGTGGCTCATGAAGAATGACAAGAGACTCCTTGTGGGAATCTGCAGAGGCACTCTACGAAGGAGAAGTTTTATCTGCATTTCTCTAATACTCACCGCAGCTGTACAGGTTGTATATATTCTTTCCTAAATCGTTTCAACTCTGCACTAAGAGGCTGATCTCCATTCTCCATAGCTATACGATCAGCTTCTGTTGGCTCAGGCTCCGGAATTTCAAACCTAGCATGGGACAAACAAAAAAGTCTAAACCTTTACATTCATTTAAATGATGTATACAGGAACCAGTAATTTGTTGTGTTAACCTCTCTCAGAACATGCACTAACAAAACTATTAAGAGTTTGATTCAATTGAAGATACCTCTGCTTTCTCCCCTGCTCATCAAAAAGTTTAGAGGGTTTCCATTAAATCAGGCCCTTACCAGTTAGTAAGTGTAGAGCAACCACTTACTAAATTGGAAATAATAATAAATGTATCTTATGTCACTACATAAAAAAAATAAAATAGAGGATATCAACACAGTCAAAGTATGTGCCAATACAGATTGCAAAATGACAAAACTTTTGGGGCAAGATCCTCATCTGGTGTAACTCAGCGTAACTCCACTGACTTCAATCAATCTTTTGGACTTCATAATCCTTGGATATGAAAACTTTTAAGAGAGACCAGTGACAAAAATTGAAGCTATCTTTTTAAAATGTTAAATTTTAAAATAAAAACATTTTTTTAATCCTACACCACATTAAAAAAAAAAGAAAAAAAGAAGAGAGAGATCCCTCCTCATATGGACCAGTGCAGCAAGCACTCCAGTGAAGATACAAAAAAAGTCACATACCTTTCTATCAGAAGACTCAATAGTTCTTGAGGTTTGCAAAAGGATCTATATGTTGTGAGAAACGTCCGAACAAAATTTGGGTCTAGGGGACACACAAAAAACACATTGCTTTCATTTCAACAAATTTGCTATTTATAATACTTCACAAGGATTCAAAGTGAATGGTTTTCTTTAAACCTAAGTGTACTTGAAAACACTCAGACTATTAATGGATACCTGTTATACAGTACACTCAACATTTCCTTGTTATTTTAGTGACAATTTAGAACTTTTTGGCATGGCAATACAAGGCAGAATGAATAAAATCAATTTCAACTGCATTTTAAAATTATTCACAAAAAACACTTGTTTTTCCTCTCTCAATTATTAAAAGAACTGGAAAAATTCTTCCAATGTTGCACTTAGTGCATTTTTATAAATGCACATAAATATATGCCATTTTATGAGTGAGTCATCTAGTCTAGCACCCTATTTATGATAGTGACCAGTGCTAGATGTTTCAAAAGAAGGGGTCAGAAACCCTATAATGGGCTATTATGGAATAATCACCACCCCTCCATCAAACTCTCTCTAGAACACCCCCATGCCGCTAACCCTGCTTTGTTGTAAAATGGTAGAGGTGTTACCTGCCCACTTCACCCCAAATGGTCTCTCCTAACATGTGTTAACTCCTTATCTGTTCCACCTGGTATTTAGCTGTGACACTCTGAATACCTTTCCCAGACCTGAAGAGCTGTGTGTAATTTCAAAAGCTTGTCTCTTTCACCCACATAAGTTGATCCAATAAAAGATGTTAATTCACCCACCTGTCTCCTTAATAAGATAGTCATGCAAATAATGAAAATAGGGGATTTCCCTTTACTCAGTATGGGATGAGAATGTCATTTTTACAGAGCTGAACTGCACTTTTACACTTAAAGACAAAACCTTTCAAACTTGAGTGCCAAACAGTAGGTGTTTACATCCAGAACTAGGAGCACTTGAATTTTTAGATGCCAAACAATGGTAGTTTCAGGCAGTCAGCACATGTGAAAATCAGGCCCCCTATTTAGATGCCTGACTTGGCTCCAAACTCAGAAACCATGAATAAAACTATTTAACTACACCTCTACCCCGATATAATGTGACCCGATATAACATGAATTCGGATATAACGCGGTAAAGCAGTGCTCCAGGGGGGCGGGGCTGCGCACTCCGGTGGATCAAAGCAAGTTCAATATAACGCGGTTAGATTTTTTGGCTCCCAAGGACAGCGTTATATTGGGGTAGAGGTGTATTTGTCTATAAGTAGTAGTGTTTCCACAGAATGATTTTCATTATATATTATTAAAACACACAATGTGTACCCTAAACATGTTTTGTTTAAACCAAAGAGTAGAATGCCTCCACATAATTTAAAAATGTCCTGGCTATTCTACATCTGAGTCATAGCTATTGTTATTTACATTAGAATTTGAGATCAGTGTCTAGAGCCACAGAATCCACAGCAGCGTAGTTCCATTTGAGGTAAATACAGCAAAACAAATCTAACTTTTTTTTCTTTCAGTTTCTGATTACAAATGTTCTCTTACTAATAAAATCAGTGGCTTAAAAATAATGTATATTCTATAGCTAACCAATTTGTAGGTTAAAAAAAATACAGACAACTCCACTTAGTCAGGATGTCCGCTCATGTGATAATTCTCCCTTCAATACAGCCAATTTAAAAGCTAAAAAAGAACAATAACTTATTCTACAAGGATTTATAAATAATCACCCTTGAATTCCTTAAGAAAGGAAACGGACACTATGCTGACGCACAAATACTCTTAACATATCAAAGCTTTAAAAATAGAACAGCACTGCCCTATAGATAAAAAAATTGCCAGGACTTTCAAAACGAGGAGCCCCTAACCTTAATGCTCTTACACAAACATCAGGAAAAGGAGGGGGGAGAGAGACACACACAAACAGGTTTATGAAAACAGGGTCAAATGGTCTCCGTTAGTGTTTAAACTCTGTGGAAAGGGGCTTGATGTAGGGGAAACGTCTCCAGGCAGAGATGTATCGAACTGTCCCATTACAGGGAGGATGCAGTGGTTTGCCATCCATGCCTCATGGAAAAGGCTGTGGGGCCTGCCTCCAAACCTGGTGAATCCCAGGAGGCCTGTGTCATTACACTGGCTCTGGCCACTGGTGGGTGCCTGACTCCCTGGCAGTACTACGCCATTGCAGCTGCTCTACCAGAGATTTCATCTTGGTGCCAATGGGAACATTTTTTGCAGATAAGTCAATGTAGCCTAGGGGACAGACAGGTCCACCCCAGTAGATGAAATCCTGCATAATCAATCATTATGGACCTCTGATTGCAAAAAAACTGAGACCTGATATTTGATTTTGCCTCAGATCATTCAGGTCTCGAGTATGCAACTAATTTAGCTACACTCTGCTGTTACTTAGAGTACACTGCATTTATGTCACCTTAGAGTGCCAGGCCCAGCTACACAATAAAAGCCTGCTTTATAGGATGTAAGACCTTCGGGGCAGGAACCAAATTTTTGTTCTGTTTGTAAAGTACCTAGCTCAATGGGATCCTGGTCCATGCCTAGGGCTCCTATGCACTACAAATAATAAATAATAATGCTGACAGCTAGAGAAGTTACACCTTTAAGTTGAAGCGCTAAGAGATTTGTGTGCAGCAGTCACACCTTTTCTCAAACAGTGCAATCGTGCACTACATAAGAGACTAATATAATGCATATGCACAAAGGTGCAGAGTTAAGGTTGAACACAATTTTCAAACTTCTCTTAACAGAATTTTATGTATGGTGGGGAAAAAAATTATACAATCTGGAATCATTTGGCTAGATGTCATCAGAATGCCCTTTCTTAGGCACCTGAGTAGGTCTTGTAAGGTGAGCATATGGAGCCATACTCTCAGCTCACACACATTATGTAAAGACAATAGGGGCAGAGATACTGTGGAGGATTGCCTCACTCACTGTGCATCTCCTAAAAATGCAGTAAATCACTGCACTCTTTGCAAAGTATGTAAATTCACTAAAAAGCTAGGTGACTCATGAATAGGCATCAAATATGTTCACTGAGACTGGATCTAGTTTCCTATGTCGTAGTGCTTCCTGGTTAAGTCACTGAACCTCTGTGTTCCTTTGTTCATCTGAAAAGCATGGCTAACAATGCTTAGCATACACAGTGTTTCTCTCATTCTTGGATTTCAAAGCCCTTTGCAAAGGTGGGAGTGCATGAGTAATTCTGTGGCTGAACTCAGGTCTTTAACTCTAACTCAATGCCTATCACAGTACCTCCCCAGGGCAACATAGGCAAATCAATTTTTCTGTCTCAATTGTGTGACCCTGAACAAACCAAATAACCTCTCTGTGCCTCAGTTACACCACCTCTAAGCTTTGTTAAATAGGGGTTGTAAAGCAGAGAATTATTAAGTGCATTTGGTGGAAGAAGTGGACCTAAAAATCAGGACTCTTCTTGGCTACCACCGTATGCTTAGTACTATATGTAGGTTAAGGGGGCATTTTGGTGGGGAATACAGCAAAAGAAACATCTCTTTTACTAGATCCTGTGTTCCTAAAATAATTTAGAAACTGTTCCTTTTTGGGCAGATAGAACTCTAGAGAGAAGCTCATATCTCACTGAGCACAAGCATACAAATAGGGGGTCCTACCAACACTAGGAACAATGCCAAACTTATTAATAACTTGTATCAAATCGTTGTGTATGTGCAAAAGGTGAGTCTCCAGCCAAATCAAAACAAGCATTCACCAGAAAACTCAAAAAGGTACTTCTCCTTTGGGTCTATTGCCCTTCTAAATACTACCTTCATTTCCCCACTTATTTTAGTGCTCAAACTTTTCAAAACAATGTCACAAAACCAATTCTACTTAAAATGTCTTGGCTTTTGCTCTCAAACACTGCTGAACTGCCTTTGCTCCAACTTCCAAAAAATTCACGGGACAGAAACCAAACAAATAAAATTTCTTCCCCAGAGGCTAAAAGGTTTGAAAAGTTATGAGCAAATGAGAACAGAGACTTAAAATAGCTTTGCTGTAACTGCATCTGGAGTACTATGTTTATTTATTCATACCACATTTTAGAAAGATATTAATAAATGCAAGTGCATTCAGAGAAGAGCAATAAAAGTGATTGTGAGAGATGGTAAGGAGAGATTCATTTACAATAGAGATTAACAAATGAAATATAGATAACTTGGTTAAAGGATAGCAAAGGGGGGGGGAGGGAAGAGACAAAGCCACCTACAAATATTCAAGGTTCTAATCTTGCAACGTGTAGTGTATCAGTTACTGAAGAACTGGGCACCAAGGATGGAGAGCAATTTACAATAGTTGTAATGGAATGAAATTGAGAAAGGAAAAAATTACAACTGAGTATGAGGAAAAGCCCTCATCACGAGATGTATTTTAGGGTATGGAATAGTCTCCGTAGGGAAGTGTTGGAAGCACAATTACTTGGGATTTTCAAATTAGACTGGCAAAAACACTGGAAAATGTATTCTAAAGAAAAATTCCATGCTGGTAGGGGTTGGATTAAATGACCTAATAAAGGGGGGGACCAACCTACAGCCTACCAGAGCACTTCATAAGACCCACGGACTGCTTCAAACACAATATACTAAAACTCAATTCATTAACGTTTTGTCGTCATGTTTACATCATTTTAGTTTATACAACTGTGTAAACAGACAATACAGTACATAGAAACGATCAGTGGCGGATTTAGAGTTAGTGGGGCCCTGTGCCAAGCTTCATTTTTGCCGCCCCCCCCCCCCCCCCCCCCCGGGGGGGGCCCCCCCCCTTTTCCCCCCCCCCCCCTTTTAATTTTTTTCCCTGCATTTTCCTCCTGGGGCTCAGGGTGCAGGGTCTGGGTGGGAGTTAGGGTGCAGGAACAGGTTGGGGTGCAGGGTCTGGCCAGGAGTTCGGGTGAAGGAGGGGGCTCAGGGCTGGGGCAGGGGTGTGGAGCATTTACCTGGGGCAGCTCCCGTTTGGGGCAGGGGTTGCAGGTGTAGGGAGTTCAGGTGGCTCTGCTTGTCCTGTGGTTGCCCTGCAGGCACCGCCCCCCGCGGGTCCCACTGGCCACAATTCTCAGAGCCGCCTCCCACCTCCTCCCCCGGCCAGGCAGAGCTGGAACGCAAGGGCTTTAGGGGCTGCAGCCCCTAAAGCCCCACCCCTTTCTGAATCCAGCCCTGCGAGCAGGGGCTGGAGAACTCAGGAGGAGCAGGGGCAGCCACGCAGGCGGAGAGAAGCGTCGGTTTCCCCTTCAAAGCGCCGCTTCTCACCGGCTGGCTGCGCGGCTGCCCTGTGCTCCTCCGGAATCCTCTGGCCCACGTTCGTAGCGCTCCTGCCACCCGCACCTCCCGCCTGCTCCCCTGAGGGTGCAGGTGAGCCTCCGTCCCTGCTCTCCTGCTCCCCACAGCCCCCCTGCAAGGGCTGCGCCAGCGCTGAGCTGCCTGAGTGCCCGACCCTGGGGCCCCTTTTTGTTGGGGGGCGCTGCGCCACGGCACTGTGTGTTTCATGGTAAATCCGCCCCTGGAAACAATCTACCTAAATACATAAAACAAGCTGAACGTAAAATATAAATCAATACAGGTGATTTTAAATCTGATTAAAATATGTAGAATCTGTTTGGCCCACACAAGATTGTGCTAGGGTTTATGTGGCCCTCCTGTGTAATAAGGTTGGGCACCACTGACCTAACAGATCTTCTCCATCTCTGTCAAAGAATCCAACCCCAATCTCTGATACAGCCTTGATACTGATTCCTAGCTTAACCCTGTCCAAGCCAAAGAACTGCCTTAGCCTCTCCCTGGTGAAAGCCAGCCTCTCCAAATGTGTTGGAAAATTCTACTACTGTAACCTGTTTTTCCAATAGGCTCTAAAGTCAGTCGTGGGATTACAAAAATCTACAATACAGGATCTAGCAATAATTGAAAAAAAAAAATCATCAGGAAACAGAACAGAAAATTCCACAAAAGTCCTACCCTCGACTCTTCAGGAAAGCATTTTTTGTTAAAGAAAAGTAAATAATTACATATTTTAAAAAGTCAGATTTATTCAATATAACAACGTTATAAAAAATCAAAATAGATAACTTTCTGACATGAGGGTGGGGGGAAGCATCCTGATCCTTTGTCTAAATTGGCAAATTACTGAATAGTTTAAAAAAAAAAAAAGTGGAGTGTTAAGCACTCAGTTATCCTAAATCAGATTAATTTTACATTAAAAGAAAAAAAATACAGCACTGAGTTATTGTACTGCATACTGTTTTGACTAATAAATGTAAGACTTTAGGTTCAAAAATGAACAAACCAATTTTCAACTCTGTCTTGGGAAGAGGCACCTTCTTTAGGAAATGTGCACATTTAAAGCTTTGAAGCAGTAAACCAGAGAACCTGGTTAACATTTCTGCAAATGCAGCACATAAAGTAGTAAGAAGCAAGGTAACTAGGGATGAGTGCTATTATGGATCTCTCTCTACCAAGTACAGACATTGGTATTAAAAAGCCCTAAAGTCGAGTATAGTAGCTTTGTCCCTTTAATAAGCCTTTATACTGAAATTCAGTTAAATTTAAAGCAAGAAACATGCAACGAATTGTTCCTCTGTAACTACTAAATTGATATTATATCTTGCCTCTTTGCTGCATGTTCATTTCACTAGCTGCCTGTGCAGGCACAGATTGAATTCAAGGTTGTAGTTTTAAAATAGAGAATATAGAAACTCTTTCTGAGCCTGTGGCCCTACAAATATCACCACAGCTTATGAGGTCCAAACAGATAGCAACTCTTGAAGCCTGGAACATACAGGAAGTAGTATTGTGTATGGCCCTGGTCCTGCAAGTACCCATGTATGAGAATAACTTTATGCACATGCATAGTGCCAGTGAGTTCAATGGACTGGGGCCTATATTTTTATGTCTATAGTATTGAGGCTACATAAAGATCTCCTCTCTGGAATCCAGACCCTTAACTCAAAAACAATTTTATTTCAGAATGCCTTTTGCACCGTAAAGCATGTTGATTAGTTGAGGTTTTATTCAAATTGTTTATGGATTTTTTTTTTAAAAAGGGTAAGTCTTTTAATCTATTTTTACGGTACCAATGTTTAGTATGCTTTTTAGATCAGTGTTATTAGGCCACAGGGAACACCTGACAACAGAACAGCTGTGGTTCTGCTGAACAAGAAAAGGCTGGATTTGAATGGGCCAAATGTTATGGTCCTGTTCCACAACAGCTCTGTACTTGCACTGGGGTGGGTAAGGGCAAAGCAAAGGCAGGCTGGAGGCAGAGCCACAAGATATAATACTGCTATCATCCAGTTCTTGCCCTGTGACAGTGGTACATTAGGGACTGCAGAGAGCTTCTTCAGATACTGAGCTGAAGTGGCTTCCACACAGAAGCTCTGCAGCCACGATGTTAGACATCTTATATTCTTAGTCAAGCTACTGCATCAAGACGCTGCACATACAGACTGGAGCTTTGCAAAACCACGAAAGATGACAGTATCTTTCTTCTCATTCTGTATTAATAAGTATTGATGCAAAGAAATTAGGGTTTTAGTAAAATAATCAACAGCTTCAAATATTCTAAAACAGCTTAAAGGCTGCCTCACCTGCATACATGTGGTAGGTCAGTCTCTCAATGAGTTTCACAACAGTTCCTGCCTTGAGGATAGGGATTCCAGATTTGGGCTGCATGTTTTCTTCAAATACAATATTCTCTTCAGAGTCTGGTTCTGCAAACCTATAAAGCTCAGGACTTGGAAATCTCATCTGCTCCTCCTTCTCTTCCTGTAGCATTGTTACATCTAACATTCTTTCCAGAGTGCTTCTGTACTGTAAAGATATCAATGCTGCCATCCAATTGTTTTTCTCTTCTGCTGATTTAGCAGCAAAAATAACACTGTTCTCATCTTTTAAAATAATTTCAAAGGCATGTTTATATTCATTAGTGTCGTCTTTATCATTGATTTGTACCTTTCGCATAAAAATTTTTTCTTTCAGACGATACTCTGCATTGCTAGCACCTGGAAGTCTTGGCTGGCCATGATTCGACTTACAGCAAATCATTAGTCCATCAAAAAGGAATATGTGTCTCTCATGTTTTGCGCCTACTCGTGTGAGAGTTCCTTCCATTATAAACTCATTACAGCACTGTCCAATGTCCTTACCCTCCCAACCATCAATGTTTTTCTGGATCTCATTCATTTTCTTGATTGCTAGTTGTTTCCCCTTCATCTGCTGACTATAGAACCGACATGCAGATTCACTTCAGTGAATGAGAGTAGTAATAAAAAAAAAGGAAATACATTAGTTCAGAAAGGATAAAATAATCTATTCCTTCCAAATGAGAAGGTAAATACACCCTCAAAGACACACATGCTAACAAGAGAATAATTTTAATGAAACTACCAGTATGGAGAAAGTGCTTGCTAATTCCTAAAGTGCCTCATTTGGATACAAGCATTCTATGTGTTATCAACGATGCAATGTAAAATGTTTTTAAATGGAGTGCCTAATCAGCAAAAGGCAAATTGTTACAGTACATTTTTACATGCTCTAACATGTATTCTCAATTTATTTCCATTATTAAGAATGCACTTTATTCTACCTTCCTCAATTAGCAGCTAAGCTGTATGATGCATTTATGTCTAAGCCTAAAGATTCCATTTTAGAGTACAAAATTGGATTAGTTATCAAAAAATATTAAAATAGTCCTAAATTAATGTATTGAACAGAATTTTTAAAAACACCTGTTCTATATTACTTATAAACTGGCACTGCATGAATATTGTCATTTATTTTAATCATAACCAAATATATCTGAAGTACACAACATTGCAAGTAATTACTGATTCACACTTGAGCTTGGTTTTCAACTGTGTATGCACACAAAAATCTGTTTAGATAATTTAAATGGTTCCATGACATAAGAAATATCTACTTTCAACCATAAAAGAAATGCACATTAGCAATTATAATTTTACAAATCCACTATCTGGAAAAAAAAATCTACAATTTATCTTTCCTTCTGCTTACCACTAGATTCTCAGGATGTCTTGACCAGTTGTGTGCAAGGACACATACAAATACGAAAGGTTTTAAAACAATAACAAATTATCTTAGCTTTGTATGTCACTTCCTCTGAAAAAGCAGGCTTGTCACAAACTATTTTGTTCATTGTTTACTGAAAGAGGAAACTGGGAACCCTGGATTTATAGCAAAGCATTGAGGGCTGAAAGCAGAAAAAATGGAAACATGTTTACCTAAGTCTTCGCTTTGCAAGACTTTTGGAGCATATCCTTTCCATACTACTCTGAAGGTTAAGCAGGGCTGTTATCGCTTGCTTTAGACATTCTTTATCCTCTTCATCCTCACTCTTCTCTTCCAGTTGCTGTGAATATTGAAAGCTAAATATTAGAAAAGTGTTGAAGAATGATGGTATATGCATGTGTGAAAGCATTACAAATAATCTGTTTAACATATTGAGAAGAAATCTCTCCATTTCCTGGGTTTGTGTTTTTTTTATTATATAAATCACAGAATAATCTACATTAATTAGATGCATTACCAACAGCAAGGGGGGGGCAGGGGAGTCCCCTTTAAGAGAAGAGTTCCTGGTCTACCCCAGGACTCAGCTGTGCTAGGGAAGAAGCTACCATTCTACTCCAGGTCTGTCCAGTCCACCTCATGCCACCAGCAGTATGGGAGAGAGTCCCCTTTAAGAGAAAGCCTCCCTCACTGGGCGAGGACATAACTGGACATGTGTGTTTATCTCTAAATTAATAGGTTTACAACTCACGTGGGAGGAGCTGGTTGGGTGTTTTACATTCTTGTGGGTTGGAGACATAAAGGGGAAGCTTGTGTGTCTTTCTGAGGGATGTGAATGTGTTTGTATGATGTGCAGCCTCCTCCATATTACACACATGAGGATTTTCCTGGGAGTAGGGTAGATTGATTCATGGCCCTGTGGGAAAAGGGCTGGGAAATGAGGCTGGAAGAGGTTACACTTCTTTGTGGGAGAGGCACATGGAGGGATAAGGCTCTCTGTGTTTGGGAGGAAAAATGAAGAAGAGGTACCAGTGTGTGTTTTTAAAGCCCTCTTTTATAAAGGGGTTCCTTATTTTAGTTTGCCAATTTGGTTAGTCTGGGATGGAAGTGTAGGGTTTGTTACTGTACGCTCCTTTGGGTTTGGTTGAATAAGGGGTAGTAGTTACATCATTGAGATGTCTTTCGCAGTCTACCCAGGAGGTCCCTATTTGGGTACCTAGCTGTGACAGGTAGGTCCTTTTGCTGGCCACCTTAAAGTGACTCAGAGTGAGGCAGCACTGCCAACAGCTTCAGGGATGGAGCCTGAGAGTTGGAAGGGACAGGAGCATGTTAACAGTGAAGGTCTGGGTCCTTCTATCCCTATACTGGATGGGGAGGCAAGGATGAGACAAGGCAGGTTAAAAAAAATGGTGCTAGACAAATCTGAATTGAGATTTTCATTTCAGCTCCTCTGGTTTAGGCTGCAGTTCTCTCAGGGGTTAGGGTATCAATGGAAGCAATTCCTAGACTATGGTTATGCTTATGAATACATCGGTCGGCTGTCAATAATTAACAATTCTCGGATTCGATAAGAGATGAAGCTCTTATACATACCACCAAGTACTAGCTCAACAAAATTGTGGGGTTTATTTGGCATATTTGGTCTCAGGCAGGTATCAGTGCCACATGAACCCCCGGGTGAATCAGAGTGGAGGTGGTGTGACTGTGATTTGCATCCAACTTTAAATGTAAAAGGTGTCCCATTCCCAAACTGGATCAAATATAGTATATCCAACTTTGTTTGAAAGTCCTGGGGGAACGTTACTTCTTTCCATGACCTGTTCAAGTTAATTATCTCATGTTGTAGACACAGGTGCTGATAGCAACAACCTCAGCATTCCCATGGATGGCCAACTTTCTGAATCAATTTAGTTTTTCCTGGTCACCATGAGGCCAATGAGACTATCCCTGGTGGTTTCTGGTTCAACTCTCATGGCTGACCACACTCTTGATGTAGTGTTTGGACTGGGACTGGAGATGTGAAATTTGGAAATTAAACCCCTCATAGAGAAACCACAACGCCCATTAAATTAGAAGTTAGGGCACACAACCCATCACAATGAAGGATCCATTTAGACTGTGCACTATCATACTAACACAACCTGAGCGTTTCCAGAGGGCTCTCAAGGAGAACACTGATCTCCTGACAGAACACTCAATCAATGGTTGGTGGGATATTTGCATCTTATCCTGGTGAGGGGGACCACTAACAACCTCTTAACCTGGCTATGATCTTGCAGGTTGCTTAGTTTATATCTGACCTGTAACAACTCCAATGTGAGGGAGGACAGCTCAAGCACCGTTGGCAGGAGTCTTGGGATGAAATGGATTGTGGCATAAAGATCTTTGAACTCTTATATTATAGCTGTGCATGAGACTAAATAGAGGTTCTTTGCCTCCACCACAGTACCCACTGACAGTCTTTTCTACTGTTTGCAACCTGGGTTTCTGGTTGGATCCCCAGTTATGTGCGGATGATCATCTTTCAGCAGCAGACAAAGCTATTACTTACTATGTGTCTGCCTCGGAGGTTGCAGCCTTCTCTTTCCAATGCAGAAAGCTAGAGGCAGCTTTTGAGCATATGGAAAAATGCAGACTGACTTGCTTAAAGGTCAGGATTCAAAGTAAATGAGATATAAGTAATTCTATCACATACTTATGAGATATACGTAATGTTATCTGGGACTTTGATTTAGCATAATGCTATTTGATGACACAGGTTGAAGACCATGGAAAATAAAAACAGGTCCTTGAACCTGTGCGTTTTGGTGTAAGAGAAGCAGGAGTAAGAAAATACGTAGTTCAAGTCATTTTATTAATGAAATACTTGTACAAAAATTTGATCCTATATAAATGTATACAATGCTTTTTAGCTCTCCTTCCTAATATTGTGCAACAAGAAAGAGCAGTAGGGAGAACAATTTCCTTAAGGCAGTGAAGAGATTAAAAGGTTTTAAAAAAATTCATCACAGACCTTTCATGTTCATGTTACTAGGTAAAACAAGCTTGCAGGTTATTTTATCCTGATAAGCTCTAATACATGACTCAAAGAAATAACTTTTTTTGGACTCTGATGAAGCCCAATTTTTAAAAAGTTACCTGTACTTCCAACTCCATATTCAAATAAAAATCAAGTGTTCAAAGCGACTAAATGAATTTAATCATACCAAAGTCTTTTTTTAAAGTTAACATATTTAGAATTTCAAAGTTTTAAAAACGTTGTGTGTACCAAACATGCATTATGAATATGGTTTATTATAAGTGTTACCATTACTGAATTATTTCTTACAGTCAAAAACAGAATAGCTATTTGCAAGGTTTTATGCTAACCATACAAAAATATCCCCTTCCCCCCCCTCAAAAAGGCTTCTGCCTTCATCTGTTTCTTTTGAAAAATCTTTTTTTCTTTCTAAAGAAATAGGTCGTGCAGGGAAACATGGTAGGAGGGAGAGTACAGGAGGATTTTTGTAATCTAGTGTCAAATTTAAAACCTACTTTCTTGGAACATATTGGGTCATGAGAAACAAACAGGATGTCAATGGACTTATACCACAAAAAATTCAAACGGCCATTAAAAGGCCCACTGATTTATTGTAGATGTCTAGTGCCACCTAATGAATCACTGCAATAACTGCAAAGTATAGGTGTTTAAAGTCTCCTTTTATAAAGAAGCAGAGCATGGAGGAAGGTCTAGCTATGCATGACTGGGATACTGAAGGGATCATGGTCTGTTTGGAAAACTCTCTCTATTTTTACCGGGTCCAAGAGTTCATACCCTCTTCCCCAAGCTGTTAAAGTCATGGAGCACCTCTATCTGCCAGTCAAACATGCTCTGGTCTGAAAGAATAACCAGTGGGCAAGAACTCAGAAGCTATAATTAGTTTCCATACAACAATAGGTTTCGTTGCATACACATAAAGACTAAAACCCTCAGTTCCTGTTAGGCTCAGCCCACCTACATGATATAGTACAGGAAACCATACCCACAGGTACACTGCCCAGAGACCCTGACCAAAGCTCAACAATTAAGATACGCAAGAGGAAATATGTATACAGCCATTCCAGCAGTTGGAGGATGTTAGCAGTTGGAGAATTTCTTCCAAGTTCAAAAATAAATACTGCACAGCAGAACAGATTTGAGGGCAAATAGGATATAGAATCATCTACTGTCCTCATGAATGTCAGCATGAGACCTGCTCCACTCTTTGGGGTATTAATCAAACCTAAGTAGTAGTAGCAGCAATAAGAAGAGATCATCCACCTTCAAAGGAGGATTAGATGTTTATATGGCAAACAAGAGTATCCAGAACAACAGTTGATGGTAACAACAAATATTGTGAAGGATATAAAAATCGCACGCTTCCACGGCTTAAATCAATCTCTAACTATTACGGATTAGGATCAGACCTTCATGGGGGCAGATTATTCTAAATCTGCCAATTGTGGGGTTTCTTATACCTCCCTCTGAAGCATGAAGTACTGGCCACTGTAGGAGACAGGACACTAGACTAGATGAACTATGGATCTGATCCAGGAAGGACCACAGGAAATGCCACTGTAAAAGGGGGCCCATTCAACTACAAGGGTTAGTTCAGTTGACCAATACCAAAAAGTTATAAGTGGCTGAATACACCAGAAATTCAGATATAAAAAAAATTCAGCCTGGATTATGACCCAATACAGGCACAACAGAAAAACCTGAGACAGGATCATTAGGTTTAACACATGCAAATACTAAGCAACTTGTGACATAGGAGAAGCACAAAGATTATCGAAGGCCTAAACTGCACCTCCTCCAAGAGGAGACAGGAGCAAAAATATTCCAAGCCCATCTGTGACCTGATCCAAAGCCCATTAAAGTCAACAAGCCTTTCAACTGATTTAAGAGTCTTTGGATCAGGCGAATAACCCCATAACCTACTTTAGATAAGACCCTGAGAAATCAGACAGGGCATCACACAGGCACAAAGGATAGGCAATCTGAAGAAAGTGGGCACCTGGAGGTACCCTCCTTAATCAAGAGGTTGCATTCTGTTTATTAAAAGGTTATTTGGGAGCGTCTACTTGAAATGGTCATCCTCTCCATGCGAAGTATTTTATATAATAAAATACCAGGAGACAGTGAGCATGTAAGAGGTGCAGAGAAAAAAGCTTTCTTGTGTGCTCTTATATGCTATGGACTTCATGTTAAACACAAAGATACACATCCAGTGACCTCATTAGAGGAAAACCTTACATCCTATTCACCAACCCAGGGACCATTCCTACAGAGGTCCAACCATCAATCAGCTTAGCCTATACAAA